TAGAAGAGTCGTCCAGGGCAGGAACAGGAAAGGGACAAGTTATAGGCGGCCTGCGAAGGCTGACAGAGCCCCTCCATCCACATCATGAAGTGCTTTGACCCGTGTCTGTTTGGTTTCTTTTTTTTTTTTCTTTTGCCACTTTGCCTTTCCACCTCTCAGMCCGTTTAGATTCCCCTATTTCTTGCAAGAAGCTGGAGTGTGACCCAGGTACTAATGAGACATGCGCTGCCTCTTAGTGCTGCTGCTCCTGCCAGTCTGGCTCCACAGCAGAGCCTCTTGGGCCGGAGGTTTTCAGCGTAAAGATATAAAATGGTTCCAGTGACTCACCTGGTGTTTGCCAAGCGAAGCTTAATATCAGCGGATCCGCATTCAAGCCTCTGTCCGTATTTATTGGGTGGCTCTAACGTTACGTCTCGGCGTTGTGACTCACATGGTTTCTAAACGTAAAGCACCAGACAAGAAATATCATCATCATCATCATCATCATCATCATCATCATCATCATCTCCATCACTATCATATACCCGGGCCGGCAGCCCAGTCCGAAGAGCGAGATTGAGCCCGCGCGGGAACCCGAGCCCTTGAGCTGGCAGCCCGAGTGCGGTCCCTGGCCTGGAGGGCGCCGGGAGCGGAGGGGCCGCGCAGGGCCCTGGGGCCCCAGAGGAACCTGGCACAGTTAGCGGCTTTGAAGTGAGCCGCGGGAGAGGGAGGGCAGCGGGGGGGACATGTTGACTGCAGGACTCGGGACTTTGGAGCACGTCCCAGCCATCAAGTTAAAGAAGCATCTACTGGACTTCAGCAAATAGAGCCCCTAATCTGAGGGCTTTAGGGCTGGATGGCCTTTCGCATTCTATTCAAACACAGGGGGCTGCCCTTCCCTTATCTGCYTCATTTCATTTCCACCGACCCCTCCTTGCATTTGTCCCGGCCGCCTCAAAAGGGTGGGTTCCTCCCCCCTCCCCGCCGCTCCCCCCGTCCCCTCTCCCACCTCCGTCTCTCCTTCTTTCCYCGCAAGCTTAAACCAATTACACTGCTTGGCAAATAAAGTGCCGCCCCGGGGGGGTGCGGGCGGCGGGAGCTGCCTTGTTTGCAGGTGCATCTCCGGCTTTGTAGGTGCGAACGCCTTTGTGCGGCGGGCAAATGGGGAGAGGAGGAGGAGGAGGTGGGTACTTGTGCGACGTAAGATCCACATCAGCGCAACTCCACTCACATCCCGGCCGGCACTTCCTCACTTTCTCAACTGTCTCGCCCCACGCCGCTCCCTGCCTCCTTTTTTGGCGTATTATAGAGGAGGATTGAGCACCCCCTTCCCCCGCTCCCTCCCCGCCCCCCCGGAGCCGCCTTCCCGGCAGGTCGGCCTCCCGGGCTCTTTTCCTGCTGCCCGCCGCTCGCTTGCAGGAGGGCTGGATGGTTACACCGGGCAGCCGGGCTCCATAATGTTAGGGACTGTGAAAATGGAAGGGCATGAAACCAGCGACTGGAACAGCTACTACGCCGACACCCAGGAGGTGAGTGGATCCCAGGGCTGGCTCCTCTGCTGCCCCTCTGCAAGGGGGAGGGGGTCAGGGAGGGACGGGGGCCTGGTGGGGGGGCAGCGACKGGGGGAGCAATTTACGCTCCAGATCCTGCCAGTGCAAATGGGCTCCCGCACCCGCCCCGGCTGCGCGGGCTTCCCCGAGGAAACGTGCGCCGTTCCCGGGACGCCGGGACCCCCCGAGCCGGCGGGGACCCCCGAGAGCCGCGCACAGCGCTGGGGCTCTTCCAGGAGCCGCAACCTGCGCTCTCGGCGGGCACGAAAAGCGCCCACGAACTCCTGCTCGGGGCAGGGGAGTCGCGGCTCCTTCCGCCGTGTGGCGAGGGGCGGCCGGGCCCGGGCGCCGCGCCGGGCGCCGTCGCGGGCCTCACCTGTATGAGCGGTGCGGAAAGGAAGCAAGGAAGAAAAGGAGGAAAAACAAAAAAGGCCGTTGGCCCGTGCTTGGCAAGCCGGGCTGCGGCGCGCGCCGAGCGGCGGCCGGGGGGCGGCGCTGCGGGCAGCGGCCCCGCAGGCCGCCACGCGTGTTTGCACCGGAACGGAGGGAAACGGCCGCAACGGCGAGAACGGCGGCGCGGCAGGAGGCCCGAGCAGAGCGCTCGGCGACGGCGCCTTCCGCGCCGCAACGCGCGGGGTGCGCGGGGGTTCCGCGCTCCGCTCCGAGCCGCGGCGGCCCCCGCGGGGAAGCCGGCGCCGAGCGGCACTGCCAGGAGCGCTGGGCACGAGGAGGGAGCCGCGTTGAGGAAGTGCTCGCGGGCGGGCGCGCAGGTGCGCAMGGGCGCTGCACCAGCGCGCGCGGCCGCGTTCCGCACCCCGCACCTCCGCGGCGCTGCGCGGGCCCCGCGGGCATCCACCACCCTGCTGGTGTCGCCTACGACACCGAAACATCGGCTGAGGTCGAAGAAGGGTCATCGTCTTTCCATTCATTTGTCTTCGCAGTTCTCAATGACCATGAACATAAAGTTAATTTGCTGTTTGGGAGTTTCCGTCTTTTCCCGTCCCCTCACTACTTAATTCAAAATACTGCAGGGATGGCGTGTGGGAAACCCGTCCTAGCTCTGCGATCTCAAATTATTATTATTAAATTAAAATCGTTTTTATAACTTGGTATAATCTGTAGAAAATGCTAACAAATACTACAGTGGGTTTTTTTTAACCGTGACTAAACATGCTTTCCGTTTGCCTTTGTTCGAGGTAAATTGAGAATATACTTTCGACGTGTTTTCCCCTCCTATTAAGTCTGTATTGGGAAGCACTTTCACACTCCCYGGTTCTGAATTTCGTAGCAATTCTGTTGGAAGAAAAGGTGCAACAATTTATGCGCATTAAGTGATAATAGCAAATCAAGAGCAGGGGACGTTTCATCTTTTCTTATTTTCATAAAGTTTTTCTAACTTTAAATGAAAGATTGACTTGATAGAAAATGCATAGAAGTGGGAGGGTTTCCACCGGGAGCGTTTTTTTTTTTTTTTCCCCTCTTTTTTGCGTGACAAGACACTATCATACTTTGGTGCCAGAAAAGACATTGAAATCCACAGTAGGGAGGAGAAATGTGTGATATTATTGCTGAGAAAGTTCGAACACATGAATTTCGTCTTGGCGCAGAGAAGATATATCCGTAATTTCCAATATTCTAGTTAGTTTTGATAATATTTAGCTAGCAATGTGGGACAGRAATGAGCAAGCGGGTGGTCTGTGCGGGACGGAAACCTCCTCCCGGGCGGCCGAGCCCGCGGCCGGGCCGCAGCGCGCGGCGCGGAGCCGCCTGCGGAGCGCTCCGAGGCTCCCGGGGATCCCGCCGCAACCGCCGCGCAAACGGGAGCGGGGTCCGGCCCGAGCAAACTATCTCTGTGTCCATATTTATAAATACGTCTAAGTATAAATTAGCCTTTTGGTCCCACCAGCGGCTCTTCCGCGTGGATTTTGGAAAGTGCTTTCCCGGGTGTCGAAGAAGCTCAAAGTCTCCCCGGGSAGAGGCCGTCGGCCGGGCTGGGCCGGGCCGGGCGCTCTGGGTGCAGAGCAGCTCCCGGGAGGGGCAAATCCGTCCCGGGGATCTGTCCTTCCTCCTCTCTCCTAATCTCCTCTCTCCGTCTCGCTGCCCTAGGCCTATTCCTCGGTGCCCGTGAGCAACATGAACTCGGGGCTGGGCTCCATGAACACCATGAACACCTACATGAGCATGAACACCATGACGACGAGCGGCAACATGACCTCGGGCTCCTTCAACATGTCCTACGCGAACCCTGCGCTGGGCGCGGGGCTGAGCCCCGGCGCGGTGGCCGCGATGCCCGCGGGCTCGGCGGGGCCCGTGCCCGGCATGGGGGGCGGCGTGGCYGCCATGGGCTCGGCGCTCAGCCCCGGTGCCATCAACGCCGTGCCGGCCCAGGCGGCCCCCATGAACGGGCTGGGCCCCTACGGCGGCATGAACCCCTGCATGAGCCCCATGGCCTACACGCAGTCCAACCTGGGCCGCGCGCGGGACGCCAAGACCTTCAAGCGGAGCTACCCGCACGCCAAGCCGCCCTACTCCTACATCTCCCTCATCACCATGGCCATCCAGCAGGCGCCCAGCAAGATGCTGACGCTGAGCGAGATCTACCAGTGGATCATGGACCTCTTCCCCTACTACCGGCAGAACCAGCAGCGCTGGCAGAACAGCATCCGCCATTCGCTCTCCTTCAACGACTGCTTCGTGAAAGTGGCCCGCTCACCCGATAAGCCCGGCAAGGGCTCCTACTGGACCCTGCATCCCGACTCCGGCAACATGTTTGAAAACGGCTGCTACCTTCGCCGGCAAAAGCGGTTCAAGTGCGAGAAGCCGGCGAGCAGCAAAACCCCTCAGGAGGGCAGGAAAGATCAGGCCGGGGCCTCCAGCTCCAGCTCTAATTCCCCCCTGCACAGGGGCCACAATAAACAGGCGCAGCTGGACACGGCGACCTCCCTCTCCAGCTCCAACCCATCCGCCAGCCCCCAGTCCATGGACCACAGCGGATCGAGCACGGAGCTAAAGACCTCGGCCTCGGCCGCCTCCTCCACCATCAGCTCCGTCCCCACCTTGGCCTCCGTCCCGCACCCGCCTCACTCCTTAGCCCACGAACCCCAGCTCCACCTCAAAGGGGACCCCCACTACTCCTTCAACCACCCCTTTTCCATCAACAACCTCATGTCCTCCTCGGAGCAGCAGCACAAGCTGGACTTCAAAGCCTACGAGCAGGCGCTGCAATATTCCTCCTACGGGGCGAGCCTGCCCGGCGGGCTGCCCCTGGGCAGCGCCTCCATGGCCGGCCGCGGCAGCATCGAGCCCTCGGCCCTGGAGCCCTCCTTCTACCAAGGTGTGTATTCCAGACCCGTGCTAAACACCTCGTAGCTCTCCCGAGGGTCTCCCCCAGCCCCTCTCGCCCCTTCTTGCCGCCTTCCCCGCTCCCTCTGCGACGAACCGCGGTGTTTCCGCACGCTGCGTGCAAAGGACTGTTACTTTCTGGGCGTCTCGTAACGCGCTGTGTATCCTTAGTAGCCAGCACGGCCTCCTGCAAAGCCACCCGCGCCCCTCTGTACATACCCCATCCCCTATAGCCTTTGCAGGATATATTGAGGAGAAGACAAAAATTGTTCAAGCTTGTAAACTACTTGTTTGTGCTTTCCACCTCGCCCCGGCCCCCCTCGCCCTCTCTGTGCTCTATAATCTCATGTAAGTTTACAGGTATGTGGCAATACTTTAACAATACGGAGATGAAGAAGTGAGTAGACGTTTAAGGCTTTTTTTAATTAAAAAGGCTTTGAAGGACAATACTGCTGTGAAGTAGCAAAACACTAAGAGAACCTCTAAGCAACAAGAGGACTATTTACTTTCTAGGATCATCCTTTTGATACTTGCAAAATAAACCTTCGGCTAGTACAACCCGCATACACCCAGATGCTGCGGGCCGGATCCTGCACTCCCGAGGGGACCAACTGGAGCTTTGGAGTGCAGGATGCGACCCTTCTTTTATATTTTTTCCAAGTGTTACCTGTCTTGGGACGTAATATAAAGTTACAAGAGGTCACARCCAGTTGGGTATTTTTTGCCTTCCCATCTGTTACGAAGATTCCCATTCATCAGGAACTCTCTTCAACATGTGGATGACATGCTTATTTAATTCCACTGTCTTTTCATTGTATACCGCCTAGAGCTCTGTATGTATAACAAAGTTCTTTTCCCCCGGCAAACATTATCTATATAACCAACTTAAGGAAGAGAAGGGAGCTCTTCTGCTCTCTTGTTTTTCTAACTCAATACATTCCACACCCCAGAATTGTTGTGGCCATTTAATTATCGCCATTTTTAGCTTGTTTCATCCAGTGTTAATGCACTTTCCACAGTTTTACACGGTGTTAGCATAGCCAGACGGGTTTTATTATTATTCCTGTTCGCTGTTTCAATGTTCTTAATTTATTGCATGGTTTATATTTTTTCTTTCTTTACAGCCTGAAATTGCTTTAAATGACAGTTTAAAAAAAAAAAGAATTACACGTGAATTTAAGAAATTTTGTTAATTTTATAAATGTGATTGTAATTGAAAAAATATTTTGATTTAAAACGATAACTGAGATTTTAAGGCGTGGAGTATGTTTTTGATC